ATATATATATATATAAAGGCTTTATAAACCCTTCCTACACAGTTGCAATGTTCTAAACTCTAACTCTTAAACCTACATAATTTTAACAACATACGTATATGTACTGTACAGTACAGTAGTCCCTCGCTACTTCGCGGTTTGTTTTTCGCGGACTCGCTCCATCATGGTTTTTTCAAATTAAGATTGGACACGACACACAATTGGCTGATTGATGGATGAGCCGCACGGTCGGCATGGAATTTTTTCAATCTAAAATAAATTATTTTAAATGATTTAGCACCTGCTGCACATTTGTGCAGCCCACACTGCTGGTGAAACTTCCTCCTGCAGCTGATCAGCTGTTCTCTGTGCAGAGTGGAGAAGTGGGTGTGGCCAAGAGCGCTTGCAGGTGGCTGAGAGCAGCTGAGGCAGTGAGAGGGAAATCATGACATTCTGTGCTTTTAGAGCATTTAGAGTTTAGAAGCTTCAGAATTATTTGAGACTTTCCTGCCAGTTCTGTGAGCTTCATAGATAGCATAGATTTGTGTTGCGAAACTTTCCCTCTATTTCGGCAGAAAGCTGCAGCCGGAAAGCACTGTGTGCTTCTGGGTAGTGTAGTTCATTTGACTGGCCTTACAGTATAGGCTTAGTAAAAGAAAATTACAAAATGGCAGCGCCTGTCCGAAGTACTTATTTCGATAACTTTTTATCCCATACCGTCCCAGTTATGTGAGTAATAATAAAGTTGACAATCGTTGAAAAACCGAGAAAGGGCTCGTCTGCGAAAGTTGAACCGCGAAGTAGCAAGGGACTACTGTAAGGATTCAAGGATTCGGGGTTCTTTATTTGTCATTCCATCACATGTGGTACATGTGGTGGAATGATATTGTGTACACAGGTTCCCAGTTACATCCAACAAAAGTATTAAAATGTAAAACAACAACAGTAATAAGATCTAAAATATGAACTAAGAAAAACATCAACTAAAAATACACTAAGCAGTAGTAGTATAAAAACAATATGCCAAACAGCAGCACGAACATGAGTCTGTGTGAGCAGATGAGTATGAATGAACACAGCAACATGAAACAGATCAGCAGCAACATGAAACAGATCAGCAGCAACATGATGTGATTTTTCACAGTGATTATCCTGATTAAAGATTAATGAGTCTAACAGCATCAGGGTAGAAGCTGTTCCTCAGTCTAGTGGTTCTACACTTAATGCTCCTTAACCTCCTACCTGAGGGGAGCGGGGCAAAAAGTGTGTGTGCTGGGTGAGTGGGGTCCTTCATGATGCAGGTGGCCCTCTTCCTGCATGTGGAGGTGTAAGGTGCAAGTGTTTCAGAATCATGTCAGAATATTTAGAAACAAATTAAGAAAAAACATCCCAAAAATGAGAGCAATAAAAAAACAAGTTAATAGAACAGATCATATTTAGAATATTGTTAAAACAGTATATTAAAGTATCATTTCTAATGTAAACAAAAGTATGAGATTTGTAGAATGTTTAGATAAAGACAAAATTCAAAATATTGTCCTCCCAGTTGATTTTATTTAAGATGATGATGATGATGATGTCAGCTGCAGTTGTTTTGTGTGTGCGTTGGAAGTTTTCGATCAGTTTGTTTCGACTCCTCAGGTTCTGCAACTGTTTGTTTTTATGCTGCAGTGAAGTTTTCTCCCTCGGTCCGTTTCTCTCGTTCTTCCAGCTCCGTGTTTTTGTCCTCGCCTTCTTCGATCTCGTTCCTGCTGGAGATTTCGACCCGTTTTCAGTTGTGGATCACAGCTGTGTTCATTTAGTCAGGAACTCCCCTCCGCTCCCCGTGGACGCTGACACTTGGACCGTTTCCTCCCCCCAGTTCCAGCCCATGTGCTCCATTAGTCAACACTCAGAGTCAGCCGTAACCGTGGCAACCCTGTTTATTGCCCTTACCACGTGACGCTCATTGGGCCATTCAGAACGTGGGTGTGGGACATGCAGCAGGGTGATATATGTGGCTTTCATGGCTCATGTGTTGGTCATTAGTCGTGGGATTATTCTGCTGAAAGGAAAAAAGGAGAATGTTTGTATCTTCTGCTGAGACAGCAGAACAACGCTGTGGTGGCTGGATCTGAATCACCATCAACCATCGCAAGATGTTTAGTTTGATAAATATCAGAAAATATTAACTTACAAGACGTATATAAACTAATTCTTATCAGAGTCTAAAATTATTCAAACAAACCCAACTATGTTGTTATTTATTAAACCAGGCATTAATGGTGAAGATGTGGGTGAAAAAAACAGTTCCAGTTGCAATGCTTCCACAG